CACATTTTTTCTTAAATTTTAATACAAAACTTACATTTAATCTAAAATCAATTAATAATATGTGAAAATTGATATTTGAATTCTTGTATTTAACTCAATTTTTTTTTACTATTTATTTGATATAAGATTTTCTCACTTAACATAATTTGACTTTGAATAAATGTTTCCATATTTTCTAAGTCTGCTTCTATTTGAGATTTCTTTATAATGGGCTATTTCCAACTACAGTGTTTTCACCCTGCTTGCATATATTTTGAAATTAATCTCTTTTTAATGATCTTAATGATATACCCCCACATTAACACCATGTATTTAAAGAAAATAAATTTTATTAAGTGATGACTCTAAAACTTGAAGTTGGACCTAACCCTCTAAAATCGATTATTTACCATTAGATACATATTTCTTAAGATTAATCATATTAGTGGATGATTAGCGAATATATATTACCTGTTTACCACCTCCTTTTAGGAATACGTAGTATTTCTTTTCTTTTCTTTTCTAATCTAGAAGAAACTAAACATTCTTAAGAAACATGTACTCCTGACTTCTTAATTAGTTTTTTCAATTTTGTCTTATTTTTATGTTTTAATCAACTAATAATTATCACTTCAATCCAATTAGTTTCCTTTTATTGCTCCAATCAATTATTATTTTCAATTGCACAATAAGAATAGTCATTCTTCCAATGAATACTCTCTCATGACTTGACTTTTGTCAAATTAGGTCCCAGACTCTGCTCGCTAGTTTTAATTACTTGAAAGAGCATATATATCTATGACTTCTCATTGCAATTCCGAACAGGAAAATAAGAAAGTATATATATAGAAAGGACACCTATAATCTGGATACATTCTTTAATGAAATTGCTTGGGAAGATGATCTACTATAAAATAGTAGCTAGAAATGAAGCACATCTCAGCGTAATAGAACCATGCCCGTCGCCAATAAGGATTTATGTAGAGAACTGCAGCAATAGTTATGAGCATCATTATGTAAGACACAATTAAACTCACATAGAAGACACCCATATCGATGAAACCATCATCTTCTCTACCTGGGGTTGGACTTTCTGGGATCAATGGTGGACTTGTTGCTCCGCAACTTTTCATTGGCTCCCCACAAAGCAGAGGATTACCCTCATAACAACGTTCATCAAATGTTCCAAATTGTCCAACCCTTTTCGGTGTCTCGCCTGATAGGTTGTTGTATGCCACCCTAAAGGTAGATAAGAAATGCAGCTGAACAAGCTGGGGAGGAATTTTTCCACTCAAATTGTTGTAGGAAAGATCCAAGCTCTCAAGTTGCTCAAGGTTAGAAAATGTAGATGGAATTTGACCAACCAAGAAATTATGAGACAGGTTTAGGACATGAATCTTACTAAGCTGTCCTATTTCATAAGGAATTTCACCGGTCAG